GCCCAGCAGGTCCAGCTTTGAAGCTCGACATGCCGCCCTTGATGCTGTGCATCCGAGTGTTGCCGTGGAGCTCGAGCGAACTATCAGCAGAATAACGGTCGCCCCCCTGAGGGCAGTCTCTCAGAGGGCCCGCGGCGCTAGGATTGTGAACGCCCCACTCGCTCTGCATTGTACGAATCTTAAGTTGGCTTGGAAGTGCTACCTGGCGCCGTTGCGTTGGATGGTGAAGTGGGCCCAGAACGTGTCCCGCAGCTTGTAACGAGAGGCTGACCTTCGCATGCATCTTGAACGTTTGGAAGCGTGTCCGTCTGAGTACAGGTCGGTCCCCATCGCTCATTTGTTATTTGGACAGGGCCAAAATGCTGTCTGCGGCTCTTCGGCAAGACCTCGACCAGCAGTCTCTGAATGTGTACGTTGCAGAGGCTATTCTTGGAGATCTCTTGAAGGATCTTGAAATTGCTTTGGCGGCTGACAGCTCTAGGGGCACCCTCGGCTCCATCAAATCCTGGAAGGAATGGGTTCGAAGCCAAGGTAGCTCTGTCTCCTGGATGCATAAGTGGACCAAATGGAAGGATGTGTGGAAGCCCGGGGAGGTGCAGCAGCGCTCGGGCCAGTGGTCTGGCCAGCCTACCAGCATCCTCAGGGCAGATGCGGATGGGCTGGAGCTTCTTTGGAAAAGGGGGCGCATCCCTTCTGGCCCGTGGCAAGTTGATCTTAAAGATTGGAAACCTGCCCCTCTCGCCACTCCGCAAGCATTGAGGACAGTTTGTTCAGCTTTCAGTTCCAAGACGTCCCAGACGTATGACGGGTTCCACCCTCGACACTACTTGATGTGCGCAGGCCAGCAGTTGGGGGTTATTGCCAGGCTCCGTAGCATCGAGCAGCACGGGCAGTTCCTTTCTATTTTGGAGGCGCTTGTAACCTGTCTCGCTCCCGAGCACAAGCCAGGTGCGGTCAAGTTTCGTGGAGTCGGTTTGTGTGTATCTCTTTATCGAGTCTATGGCAGGCTTCGTCAGAATGTGGCTCGTTCCTGGGGGCGCTCGCATCGGCTTCGCTGTTTGTGTCACCAGGAAGGAGTATCCATTCTTGAGCTCGCTTTCGTGCAGAATTTCAGGGCTGAATCGGCTAGCATATCTAACCAGAAGATTCATGTTTCGTCTGTGCTGTATGATATGCGTAGCTTCTCCGATTATATAGATTTACGCCTGCTCCGGACCAGGGCCGAGGAGTCGGGTTTCGACATGCAGGTCGTCGCTGTGATCTGCAACATGTACTGTGCCAAAAACTTCGTCCAGCTTGAAGGCTATGCTCTGGAATCTTTGTTCCCCCTGCAAGGGGTCCTAGCTGGGTGCCCATTTGCCACCTTCTTGGTCCAGGTGAACTCCCATGGGCCTGCTTCGAGGTTTCAGCAGGATCCTGGAGGAACTGATCTTTTCCTTTCCATCGACGAGTGGGCGTTTCTGAATCAAGACTCGCACCCGAAGAACCTCGTCACAAGAACTGTCGAGAGCCCGGCTCAGGCAACCCAGCTGACCCGGGAAGATTTGCAGTGCGATGTAGCCCATGATAAGTCTGGTGTTGTCGCTTCTTCGGGCAATATCAGGCATGACCTGGCTCGGTCTATGGGGAAGCACATGGGGTCTACAGAAGTCTCAGCTGCAAATTTAGGCGTGGACACCGCGGGAGGCTAGCTCAGATGTCGGAAAGGTGCCACTCGTTTCTTGACAGAGAGAATCAAGAAGCGGAATAGTCGCAAGAGAAGGCTTGCTGCTATAAGGAAGGGAGGCGCCGACATGTAGCCGGTGTACCTCACAGGGATCCAGCCATTCGGGTCTCATTGGGCCGAGGTGGTGGGGTTGGACACGCGGGAAGTTGCAGCAGCGCAGTCCTTTGTCCTGCAGGCAGCTGTTAGCGCGTGCCCATCCAGGTCCCGCGCGTTGTCGCTGCTGGTTCAGCAGGATCCCACCTATGGGCTTGCTTTGGGTCCTGTCATTACCTGGGCGAACCTGGCATGGAAAGCTGCGACCTGCCCTGGCTTCGAACCCTCGCTGCCACGGCCGAGGGAGCTCGCCTTGAACTTCCTGGCGAGGCCACCGAACGCTTGGAACCAGGTCAGAGGACCTTTTGGGGCTGCCGTCGTCTCTCTGCTAAGGGTTTCCTGGAAGTTCGTCGCCGCATTTGTCTTGGAGGACCGAGAGGGGCAGGAAGTAGTCCAAACCAGCACTTCCCCCACAAAAGTTCTGTGATCTTAGAGTTGCGTGGATGCACGTGTTGGCTTTGAAGGCTGCTCGGAAGTTTGGACACCCTGGGGAGTTTTTGTTTGATGCGTCTGCTTGCTGCCAGCTGTTATCCCCCAGCAGTGTTTTGTCGTATGCTGAGAAGTGCAGGTTGGAAGCTTTTGTCACACAGTGCTTGTGGTCTAAGTGGGGACTAGCTGGATTGGGCTACGATGTTGAGGACGAATCTTGCCCCCTGCGTCGATTTCCACGGGATGGTCTTCACCGCCGTTTGTTTGGATGCTCCGCTACCATAAGCGCAAGGGGTGAGTTCCTGAAGGAAGAAGTGGCTGATTCGGTCTCTCTTGAAGATGCTAAGAATCCTCTTATGCTTGGGTTTCAGCTGGTTCCTGAGAACATCTTGAGGCCGCCTGATGGTATTGGTCATGGAAGCTTCTCCTTCTTCTGCATCGACCCCAACATGACCCCCTTGGAGGTTTTCCGAAACAAGACGTGTTTTTGTTTGTTTCGACGGCTCTTGTTTTTAGGAAGGTCACAACATCCATCATTGCACAGGCTGGGCATGTGTATGTCTCCAGGACGACGAGGAACCCGAGGCTATTCTCTCGGGCAAGGTTGGAGCTAAGTTGCTACATGCGAGTCCTGCTTCGGAGCATGTTGCTTTGTTTGGGCCAGCTGCAAGCATGCGAGCTTGGCGCCTAAATTCTGTACTGACTACAAAGGGCTTGTGGCCGCGAACGAGACGCCCTTGGAAGTTGTTTCAGACAGAATGGCTTGCTACGCTGGACCTGTTCTCCTAGCTCTGAGCCAACTGTCCAGGAAAGATGCTGTTGCTGTCTTCGAGCGTTTTTCTGAGGACTGGTACAAGGCCAAAGGAAATCGCTGGGCCGATGCGGCTGCGAAGGCGGCTGCGATGACCCGCCCCGCCCGTCTGAGAACGAGCTTTCTGAGTATAGCCTTGAAACCTCTAGCCTGAAGAGTTTCTTGTTTTTTGTGGCCAAGGCTCTCTTGCACTGGCCAAGCCTTGCGCCTGCCAGGCCCAGCAAGAGATTGGGCAGGGCAGGCCCGTCCCGCGCTGGAGCTGCCAGCGCCGCCACTGCTGGAGGCAGTGCCGCCCGAGCCGCCACCGTCAGTGCCGCCGACGAGGTGCTGGGCGCGGTTGGCTCGGGAGATCCAACCCTTTCCTCCCCCTCGGGGTGGCCCCCCGCCTCCTGCCCCTCCTTCGGTTGGGGGCCCTGAGGGCCCGAGCCTCGTGCCCACTTTAGGTGGGGCGCTGGTGTCCCAGCGCAGAGAGCGAGGCCATCAATTCAGGTGGATTCGAGGCCTGTGGTCCTGCGCGCGGTGATTCATCCGTGTGCGCTCTGATCCTCCGGAGCCTTCTGCAGATTGTATTGGTTTCAATTCCATGCTGCGCGCCATTGTGCAGGGCCCCCAGGGGCACAACATTCACCTGGCTGGTACCCCCAACGGGGTCACCCTGTTCTGTTGCATGGACTGTAGCAGTGTATCCGAGGGAGTGCGTCTTGGTGGGCTTGGGAAGGCCTGCAATGGCGGGCCATCCTCAAACCACACGCGTGGTAACCTCTCTCGCATCAGGAGAGGCACCCATCACAACCATCTGCGTAGGGATGTGTTGCTTGATGAGCTGGTGCCTCTAGCGGACTCCACCTGTGCTGTGGACAGCGGTGGTTCTTTGGCTTCGACTGGTGAGGTGGGGAGTTAGTTGCTGGTGTACCCTACCCCCTTTGGGGGTTGGGTCCTCTAGTGACTTCCTCCCTGCCTTGCTGGTCTTAGCCTTTGCGATGCGACGTGTCAAATCAAAACCCGTCCCCGCTCGAGCTTCCTCCTTGGCCCCCCCCCGCTTGAGCTCGACCCCCCCCCCCCGTCCTCGCTCGAGCTCCCCCCCCTCCCCTCTCGATTCTTGGGCCCCCCCTCGCGCTGCCCCCCCCCCCGCTTGAGCTCGACCCCCGCTCCGACCCCCCTCCTCCCCGTCCTCGCTCGATCTCCCCCCCCCCCCCCCCCCCCCTCGATTCTTGGACCCCCCCTCCCGCGCTGACCGTGTCTGGGGGGGTGTCTGTGAAGTATGCTGCACAGTAGTTTCGGCCACGTTCGCCGGACACGTTGAGAGGGGTGTCCGAAACCACAATCCCACTAAATGGGATAGCAAGTTCGCAGTGTAAATATGTAGCGAGCGTGCGGTACAGATTTGAGCCTATTTCCGTGCAGCGTTGCCACTGCGTTGAATCGGCCCAGGAGAGTAACGGTCTGGACGGGCCGAGTCTGCCGGGGAGGGAGAAACGCAACGAATTTCCCCCCTCCCGCCAGGTAGCAAAATAACTTTACAATCAATCTTCTATCGGCCACGCGGCCGGGACAGCAGCCGGCGTTAAAACTGTTAAATCAGTTTGTGATGTGTTGTGCGGTGCGTGAGGCATGGCATGGCGCAGTTTTGCGTGGCTCTTGCATGCGCGGGGAGAGTGGCAACACCAACCCCGCGCCAGTTATATATGTGCACTGTTTGGCTCAAGGCTCGACGTCCGAGCGGAAAACCATGACAGAGGCGAGGAGCAACGAAGCGCGGCAACGCCGGTTGCTCCTCCGCCTCGCTATCACTTGCAACACCCTCCTTAGGCTTAGAATCAATTTGCCTCTTGATAGTTCCCTTCGCAATCCTCTTCCCATATCTCCTGCCATAGCCCTGGAAATCCTACGTCTCAGAGCGCAGGGGGTGAGCATAGAACAGCTTGCGGAGGAATACGAACAATGAGCAACAATATGATGTATTCTGCGCACCCGTTCGTGGACCAGCACCCGCTGATGTCCACAAGGGTTATGAGCCCAACCGCTTCGACGTCTACTTGGACCCCTTCGAGCGGCCCGTGGATCATTCGCACGTGCCACGCGTGCGCCGACGTGATGACAGGGCCTACTGTCACGTGCTCGGCGTGCCACGCGCCCGTGCACAGCCACTGCGTGGTGAGGCGCATGAGCTGCATGGTGCGCACGAGCTGCGCCAACGAGATGGACTTCGCCTTCGCGAACCATCAGGCGCAGCAGAGGATGGCGATGAGTTCCGCGGGCTTTGGGCGTTTCATGAGCGCCAGCGGCCAGTGCGCAGGGCAGGCCATCGGCGCGGTGGCCACCAGGGCCGTGGGAGGGGCGGCCAGGTTGATGACAGGCTGCGCCTCGGGTGCCGTCTCGGCGATCTGGGGCGTGCGCGCTGTGGAGCTGCCGAGCGCGCCTGCGCCGCAGCGCCCGCGCTTCCTCGAGCAGTTCGACATCTCGGACGCGGGCTCGGGCAGCGGCGTGCCGACCGAGGTGGCGGACGTGATGGCCGAGTTTAGCCGGATGCGCGCGGAGATGGAGGCTCTGAGGGAGGAGAACGCCAGGCTCCGAGGAGGGAGCGCAGCGTCAGCCCAAGGCGGGTACGCGACGCCTTCATCGCCTGGGCGGCCGGCGGAGGAGATAACCGAGGCCCAGGACGAGGGCATCGATGCCGTCTACGGCGCGGATTGGTCTCAGGCGGGAGGGCCTGCCGTGAGCGGTGCTGGGGGCAGTGCCGCCGAGACTCACGAGGTGAATGCCGCGCGCGAGGCGGCTGACACGATTGGCAGGCACGTCGAGGAGTTCTCCGTGCAGGCCTCGGCGCCGACGAGCGCCACGCAGCAGGAGCAGCCGCCAGGACTCGGCGCAGCTGCTCATGCCGGCATCGCGCCTGCAGGACATCCAGGAGGTGGTCATCCTCATGGCGGTGGTGTTCCTGGAGGCGCTGGTCTACCTGGAGGAGGTTTCGGGGGTCCTCCGGGAGGTGCCCCACCTTGTTCTGGCGGGCTCGGAGGGCATGGACTTGGCCATGGAGGTGGTCATCCTCATGGGCTTCGTGGCGGTGGCTTCGGACTACCAGGTGGACCTGGTGGCGGAGGTGGGCCCGGCGGTTTTGGAGGAGGACTTCCAGGAGGTGGTGGGCCCGATCGTCTTGGTGGATTTGGCGGGCAGCCTGGAGGCGGAGGACCTCCACCACCACCGCCACCGCCGCCGCCGCCATATGACGCTGCTGCTGCCGCGGCGCCTGGCGGGCCGCAGCGCGACTTGTCGCTCGAGAGCACGCTCGCGAAGTTGAGGGCGGCCGACTTGCCGCGCTTGGCTTGGAAGGGCGGCCCGGCCGCTAAACCAGGAGTCCTCGAGCATTGGATCCAGAGGGCGTCGCTCGACCTGGGGGGGATGCACCACCTCATCGAGCGCTACTGGTCGCAGGTGCTGGGCGTGGTGGTGGAGACGTGCGAGACGTATCTCCGCCATGGGCCCTTGGACCGCCCCGCGATCAGGCCCATGCAGCCTGCGCAGTTCCCCCCCAGCGGGACCGACGCCGTGAACTTCCACAGCGCGGAGCTCCGACTTCGGGGCCTGCTGCTCGCCCTCGTGCCGGAGGACTTCAAGCAGGCATGCTTGAGTACGAGGCAGACGAGCACCACCGATGTCCTATTCAGCGCGCGCGTGTCGGCTGGCCCGGGCACGGGCGCTGACAGGGACCACACGTTGGAGCAGGTGTCCAAGGGGAGGCACGTAGACGTGAAGTCCACCTACGACGAGCTGCAGCGCTGGAAATTCAGCGCGAACCGCCTCGCCACGCTAGGCGTCGCGGCCCCCGACCCCAGCAAGCAGCTGTCGTCTCTGAAGGCGATCGCGCACAGGATGCTGGAGTCCAACGAGGAAGTGAAGCACCGCTGCTTCGGCTTCCTCGTGACTCGTGGTCTCAGCGGTGGAGTGGCTAACCAGGCGCAGGTTGACGAGCTGTGGCGCTATCTCAGCGCGGAGGCGAGGGAGTTCGCCGATGCGGCGCCGCAGAAGGACGACCCTGCGGCGAAGCTCGCGATAGAGCGACGTCTGAAGGGGGAGCCCAAGGGGCACCCAAAGGGAGGTAAAGGCGACCCCAAGGGTGGAAAGGGCGACACCAAGGGGAAGGACGACAAGGGCGGCAAGAGTAAGACCGACCAGAACTCGTCCAAGACTGGTGCGAAGAAGCTCTGCACCTTCTTCGAGAGCGCGGGCGGGTGCACTAAGGGGGCATCGTGCTCCTTTGCGCACCGGAAGCTTTCTCCGTCGGATGGGAAGTGCTTCAATTGCGGTTCGACCGAGCATCGCAGCGCAGACTGCACTAGGCCTCGTGCTGCCACGAAGGTTGCTGCGCCGACGCCGTCTCCGGCGAGTACTGGGGCGACTTCGGCATCGACTGCGGCTGGCGGACCGTCGGTTGCGCAGGTAGCGGCTCAGACGGCGCGCGCCGAGGTCCGGGCTGAGCTGATGAGCCTGATGCAGATGGGCTCTGGGACGCCGTCTGGTCAAGCTGGGCACGCGGACGCCGACTTCTGGAACGCCGGCGACCCGAAGGCCAAGATGGTGAACATCAAGGCCAAGGCGATGATCGTGAACGGGAAGCGGTACCTCCTGGCGGACACGGGCGCCACGCACGAGCTGAAGGGCGTCGAGGACTTCGACGACCTCGGCGACGACGTGCGGACGGTGCAGCTGGAGACGGCCACAGGCTCGCATGATGCGCGCATGGTCCGCGACACAGTGTTTGTACTAGGTGAACATCTACAAGGTTTATTCCCACTTGCGTCGTACGTGGAGTCCATGGGGTTGGAGATGGAGTGGAACCCTCGGCGGTGCGGAGTGCACGTGGGGAACGAGTTCGTCGACCTCCACCGGGAGAACGGCAGCATCTACATCAGCGAGAAGAACGCGGAGATTCTTCGAGCGGCTCGCCGGGCCCAGCTTCGGGAGAAGTTCAGGGCCTCTATGGCGGCTTTGGCGACGAGCCTCAGGACTTTGACGAAGCTTCGCGAGCGCCAGGAGGGCGGTCACATTCACTTCGACGTGAACTGCCCGCAGTGCCGCGGCGCCCACGGCAGGATGCGTCAGCATTTCCGCCACGATGCCAGTACGCGCCCGGGCGGGCAATTGAGCATCGACCTGAGCGGGCCGCACCTCCCGGGACGCTGGCCATCGGGACGGTCCGAGGACACGGGCAGGATGGCGCAGCACTTCCTCTTGGGGGCGTTCTCGGTGGTGACCGCAGCCGACATGCAGAATCGAGCTGATCGTGAAGGAGAGGCTCGCGAGGCAGCTGGAGTACCCGATGATGTGCCCAAGGTCAGCTCCACGGGTGTTGCTGTTGATGGCGATGTCAGGCAGCTGGCTGCTCGAGTCGCTGCCGCATTTGAGGTGTCGGAGCTCGGTGAGCTGCGCCTCAGAAGCGACCGCCCCGGCCTGATGGCAGCGAGGCCCGCGCAGGCGCCCGACCGCCCCCAGGACGAGGAGGGGGATGCGGAGGCCGAGGTCGCACCAGGGGGCGCCGGAGCCAGCTCGGAGCCCGCCAAGACGTGGTATTTTGTAGTGCCCTTGGAGAACAAGCGCTTCGAGACGTGCAAGAAGGGGCTGGAGCAGATCTTGGCCATGATTCGGTCCGAGTTCGAGGGCGCGAACGTGGTGTACCGCATCCACGGCGACAGGGCGAGCGAGCTGACAGGCACCAAGTCGAAAGAGCACTTCGCGAAGCAGGGCATCCTGGTCACCAGCGCGCCGGGGTACGAGCCGAACAACAACCCCCGCGCGGAGAAGGGGATCGGCCTCGTGAAGTTGAGGGCGAGGGCGATGCTGCTGAGCTTCACGGACCCCCGCGACAGGCAGGACCTGTGGCCCATGGCGGTGCAGCACGCGGCCTGGTGCAGCAGGATGGCGGCTCAGGGGCGGCAGACGAACTGCCCTGCGTTCGGGGCCAAGGTCAGCTCGAGTGTGAAGGATTTGCCCCACGACATGCTGAGCGAGAGAGCGGTGGACAGCATCTTCCTCGGCGTTGACCCCGAAAGCGCGTGGCTGGTTGGGCGAATCGACCCGAAGGCTTCTCGCCCCGAGGCGCGCTGGGTGATCGAGTCCTCGAGCTCGTTCGTGATCCACCCGGAGGCGGCGGCGTTGCCGAAGGAGCCGGAGAGCGCGGCAGATGAGCGAGGACCAGGAGGAGCAGCACAGGAGAGTGAGGAGGCATTGAGGCCAGGAGGAGGATCAGGAGCGTCAGCAGGAGGAGGACCAGGAGCGCCGCAGCACCCACAGGAGAGCGAGGAGGCATTGAGGCCAGGAGGAGGATCAGGAGCGTCAGCAGGAGAAGGACCAGGAGCGCCGCAGCACCCACAGGAGAGTGAGGAGACAGCGAGGCCAGGAGGAGGACCAGGGGCAGCAGGAGATGAACGTGACGATCGTGAGGGCGTTCTCGGCGAGGCGCTGCCCAAGGACATCGGCTGCCCAGCTTGCCGGGGCCAGCACAGGAGCCATACGAGGGACGAGCATTGCCGGCTCGGCCCACTTCTTCGGGACGATGGCCGTCCAGGTGCTTTTGGGCGCGGAGGTGGTGACATCTACTCGTGCCCAGCGTGCCGAGGACGGCATGTCGCACATTCTCGTGACCATCGGTGCCGACTCGGATCAGGATCAGGAGGAGGACGTGCAGGAGGAGCTCATAGGACGGGTCGTGCGTCGTCGTCGCCACGCCTTGCATCCGGATCGACTGGGCGGCCGACGATTCGTACCTTGCCGTCTTCTGGATCCCCTGTCAGCCTCCTCATGCACCACGACTGCATGAACACGCGCGTCGCGTTCTCGGCCGCAGTCGGCGCCCTGGACGAGGAGGAGGAGGAGGAGGACGACGACGACGACATTCCACCTATCTTCCAGGAGATCCAGCGCGAGAGCGGTATGACCCTGACGCTGATGAAGACCCTAAATGTTGCCTTCGGCTCGGAGCGCGAGGAATGGCGCCAAGCTTTGGAGGCGGAGCTCATCTCCATGACGGAGAATGAGGTCTCCAGGAAGCTCTCGGGCCCTGAGCTGAGAGAAGTACGGCCTCGAGACGTGCTTCCTATGAAGGTGGTGGCTGGGGAGAAGGCTGCAGATTCTACCGGATACCGGAAGAAGAAGGCCAGGGGCGTCGTGCGCGGCAACTTCGAGGACGAGTCGGACGAGCCGGTGTACTGCAGCAGTTTGGACATCGCATCGCTGAGGGCTTCATTGGCGGTGGCCTGCAAGAATGGCTGGAGCCTCGGGGTCATGGACGTGTCGACCGCGTTCCTGAACGCTCATTTGCCTATGGGGCACAAGCGTGTCGTCGTCAGGCCGCCTGCTGTTTTTGTCCGGTACGGCTTGGTTCCGGAGGGCGAGCTGTGGGTGGCGGAGAAGGCCATCTACGGACTGAGGGTCAGCCCGAAGGCCTGGAGCGACAGGCGGGACGCTGATATGAAGTCGCTCGTCGTGGATATCGGGGGCGAGCCGCACGTGCTGCGGCAATCGACTGCTGATCCGGCGGTCTGGGCCGTGGTGCCGCAGCAGGGCGGCGACGTCGTTGGCTACGTGCTGGCGTACGTGGACGACTTCTTGATGATGGGGTCGGACTCCGCAGTGATAGCCTTGAGGGGCCAGCTGGGGAAGCTCTGGCGCACGAGCTCGCAGCCGATCGTGAGCAGGTCGGCACCCGGCACGCTCCGGTACCTGAGCATCGACATCGAGCTCAGGGCCGACGGCGCTCTGACGCTCGGGCAGCGCCAGTACACCGAGGAGCTGCTCGAAAAGTGGGGGATGCTCCATTGCAATGGGACGGGGAGCATCAACTTCGAGAAGGAGTCTTTCGAGCACTTCATGGCCACCTCCTCCAGGGACGATGGCGACGACGACGAGGCACCTGAGGTGAAGCTGTCCGATGTCTGGCTGGCCCAGAAGATGGCCGGAGGCCTTTTGTGGCTGGCCTCCCGGACGCGCCCAGACATAGCGCACACCGTGTCGCGGGTGGCTTCGATAGCGACCACCCGCCCGCTGACGAGCCTCTGCTTCGGCAAGAAGGTCTTGAGGTACTTGTCCAACACTCGCCGCATGGGGCTCTACTACCTCCCCGGCGGCGGAGGCGGAGGTGGAGACGACCAAGGCGACGGCGGCGAGCAGGACCCGGAGGCCGCCTTCGTCCAGACATTCGCGGACGCTTCCCACGAGGACGTGGGAACCCAGACAGGGGCTGCTACGTATCTTGACGGCTGCCTGATCGATTGGAGGTCGGTCAGGCAACAATTGGTAGCTTTCTCCACTTGTGAAGCCGAGGTCAATGCACTTGCCATGGGCGAGAGCATTCAGTCGTCATTTGTGGCAACTCTGGAGAGCATGCAGATCAAGTGCTGTGCCGTTCTGTATGGAGATAACAGCACCGCCAACCAGATTGCGACTGGCAGGGGGACGTGGCGCACGCGGGCCCTCTCGACCAAAGTTAACGCGATTCGTTCGCGTGTCGAGCGAGGTCTTTTGACTCTCCAGTTCGTCGCCACATTTTTTATGAAGGCCGACGGGCTGACGAAGTGCGGCGGAGTACCGCGCGCGCAGCGCACCAGAGGCCATTTTGGCCTTCGCCCGCTGCGAGCCTCAGTGTTCGCAGGTTTTGTGGGCCTCTTGCGCCCCACACCGCGCTGGGCTGTGCCGGCGCGAGCGCGGAAGATCGCAGCTGCCCGCCGCGACCCCCGAGGAGGAGCGCGTGTGGGGGGTGTCTGTGAAGTATGCTGCGCAGTAGTTTCGGCCACGTTCGCCGGACACGTTGTGAGGGGTGTCCGAAACCACAATCCCACTAAATGGGATAGCAAGTTCGTAGTGTAAATATGTAGCGAGCGTGCGGTACAGATTTGAGCCTATTTCCGTGCAGCGTTGCCACTGTGTTGAATCGGCTCAGGAGAGTAACGGTCTGGACGGGCCGAGTCTGCCGGGAAGGGAGAAACGTAACAAATGTCCCCCCCCTCCCGCTAGGTAGCAAAATAACTTTACAATCAATCTTCTATCGGCCACGCGGCCGGGACAGCAGCCGACGTTAAAACTGTTAAATCAGTTTGTGATGTGTTGTGCGGTGCGTGAGGCATGGCATGGCGCAGTTTTGCGTGGTTCTTGCATGCGCGGGGAGAGTGGCAACACCAACCCCGCGCCAGTTATATATGTGCGCTGTTTGGCTCAAGGCTCGACGTCCGAGCGGAAAACCATGACAGAGGCGAGGAGCAACGAAGCGCGGCAACGCCGGTTGCTCCTCCGCCTCGCTATCACTTGCAACACCCTCCTTAGGCTTAGAATCAATTTGCCTCTTGATAGTTCCCTTCACAATCCTCTTCCCATATCTCCTGCCATAGCCCTGGAAATCCTACGTTTCAGAGCGCAGGGAGTGAGCATAGAACAGCTTGCGGAGGAATACGAACAATGAGCAACAATATGATGTATTCTGCGCACCCGTTCGTGGACCAGCACCCGCTGATGTCCACAAGCTGACCCCCCCCCCCCGCTTGAGCTCGACCCCCCCCCCCGTCCCCGTTCGAGCTTCTTCCTTGGACCCCCCCGCCGCTTGAGCTCGACCCCCCCCTACTCTTCCCGACGAAAACCTCCCAGTAGCTGCCTCCTAACGCTGTCGGTCATTGATTTCCGGGTCGCGCCACAGAGTCCACGGGGTCGCGCCACAGTTTCAAAACCGCGAGGGCATGGATGTGGACGTGCCCGCCGCCCACGACTCACCTCGTGACGGCGCCCGCTCTGCTCCGCTCCCGTGCCCCTCGGCATCTTGGGTCCACGCGCAGTGCCTGCTCTGGCGCCCGCCACGGGTGGGCCGAGGCCGCCCGCGAAGGTATGCTTCGACGGGGGCCGGCCCGCCTGAGAGGGTGTCCTTACTCCGGGTAGGATATTAGTCGAGGGGTGGGCGACTGCCCATCCGACGGAGCTTGCCCTTCCACCTCCCTCCTCCTCCTCCTCCACCTCCCTCCTCCTCCTCCTCCTCCTCCTCCTCCTCCTCCTCCTCCTCCTCCTCCTCCTCCTCCTCCTCCTCCTCATCCCCCTCCCCCTCCCCCTGCTCCTCCTCCTCCCCTCCTCCTCCTCCTCCTCCTCCTCCTCCTCCTCCTCCTCCTCCTCCTCCCCCCCTCCACCCGTTCCGACAGCACGTGTGGCCCATTGTCCCCCATCCAGAGTAGGGGAAGAGATGTTGCTGCCTGCGCAGCCTGTATGCTAGCCAGCGTGAGTCCCAAGGCATGGTTTCTTTTATGACTCGGTATCGTTTATCCGATCCCCATCTCCATCGCCTTCGAGACCCCCACCAAATTACTTCCCCATTTGGGGATACACCTCGAAACCCGAAGGGAACGGCCTAGACCCCCTTCTAGGGGGGGAAATCGGCCAGTGGGGCCCAGGCCACGCCGCTGGGGATGGGGATCGGCTCAACGATACTCAGTGACGCGATCATGTCTGGGTTCTTCTCTGCCGAGCCGCCGTGGCGGTGACGTTTCCCGCCGGGGCTGCAGGAAGGCTAAATGGGGCGGCCCGGCAGCCCCAGCCCGAGTTCCCCCGCGGCCTGCGCTGGCGCGCGGGCGACGCGGTGGAGGCCTCGGTGGGCGCCCTGCAGAGGCGATCGACCGTTGCGGGGGGAGGGGCTGACATTCGGTATCAAAAATTGCGACGGGAGGTTTTGGGCAATCTTCGGCTTCTGGGGACACTCGCCGGGCCCTAGGACCGCCAATATTGGCGGTCCTGGGGCCTGGCGAGTGTCTAATATCAAACACGATCGAGGATAGATCACCAGCCCTGGGGGAAGGGTCGGGCTTTCCGGGGACCGCGTACTGACAACAACAGAAAGTCGCATGTCTGGGTATCGGCCACGCGCAGAGGGGGCGGGTAGGGTGAGGGGGGGAGGCTTCGTTGGTCGCCGAGTATGCTGGACTGGCCGCCACATCACGCGTCTTAGAAGACTCGTCTGAATTTCTGTCAGATTGAAAGGTGGTTGCAGGCCATTGGGCTCTGCCTATCTCCCAGCAGGTCTGAGGCCTGCTGGGAGACCCGAGTGCTTTATTGGGGAGTAGTCCCCAAATAGGCCCTACAGTGGCCTAGTCGTGCAGTGCCTCTAATGCGAGTGATCATCTCGAGGGAGCTTCCACAGCGAAAGCTCATTTTGAAGGGCGGATCAGAACTCGTGGCAACAATGCTGCGGACGAGGCTTCGATGGCTGCAGCGAAGCTTCATGCGCCTGTCTTCCGTTCTCTGATGGAAGACCTTGCCTTCTTGGTCTCCGTCTCTAAGGCTGTCGCCGACCTGGCCGCCCACCTGGTCTTTGGCCCAGGACCAACCTGGCTGGACGGGGTCTCCTGGAAGCGTCCTGTGCCTCCTGGGCCTCCTCGGGATCAGGTCCCTTGGCACTCCTGTGGCCAGGTCGGCGACAGTGGGGGCCCATGCCAAGAGACATCCTGCTTTCCTCCAGGGTGCCCTGGGATTCTTGGGTTTCGATGGTTCTGCTGTGGAAGGCGTGACGCTCCCACACCAAAAATCGAGGGACGTCCTTGGGTCTCAGGGTCGGGTTTCTTGTGGAAGGTTTCTTGTGGTCGGGCCCCCACTGTAGTTCTGGCAGAGCAGCGGGTGCCGCAACGGCTCTCGTGACGCTCGTGCTCTGCTGCTGGAGGCGCGCATGCGAGCTCCATGCATATGCCGCCACGGCCGCTGGGCGCCCGGCCGAGGCACTCGACCATATTCGGGGAGGGGGCGGAACGGGTGATGGAAACAGGGCTCATTTCGATTCCTCCGATTCTACTCCAATCGATTCGATCTCGATGGATTCCGATCCCGATTCGGTTCGACATCGGACTCCGATTCGGGATCCGATCTTTCAATGGAGGCCTTACTAGCCTGCCGATGTCTGCCTACTCGACTTTTCCCGACTCGGCTGCCGATTTCCGCCGATCCGATTCATTTCGATCGCCGATTCGACTTCTCGATTCGATTCTGGGCTCTCCTGCGGAAACGACGCTGGCGGCGCCCACGTGGGGGTGGCACGTCGCCATGTCACCGCCCACCAAACCACCCCAACCCAACCCGAAGCACCCAATTTGCCCTCCATTCCCAGTGGGGGGGGGTCCGGGAACATGGAAACAAACACATGTGAAGCTCGTACCCCCCAACCCGAAATTCGGGTCTTCGAGTTGGGTTGGGGTGGTCTGCTAGGTCTAGGTGGTCACAATGGAGGAAGTGGGTCCTGGGGGAAGCGGGTCACTGGGTGTTTCACCGTTTTTTGGCTTCCCAGGGCCCTCCACGGACCCCAGGCTGCCAGAGGACAGCTGACAGCAGTGAGGAGTGGTCCTGAGGGGAAAGCACCAGGGTCCAGGACCCGTTTCCCCTCAGAGCCCGTGCGCTTCATGCCAAATGGTGACGGAAACGACGTTGGCGGCTCCAGCATGGGGGTGGCGTGAGGGGGACGTCCGTTTCAGAATCGAGGAGCCCCGCTTTACATCGACATGAACTTTCGGAGGTCCGCGCGCACTTCTTGGATTGGCGCTGGAGCCTCTCGTCGGCGGGGCTGCTTAGAAGGCAGGGGCTCACCTGGAAGCGCCCAGAGGCTTCCGACACGGCGTCTTGGAAGCTTCCGGCCGCGCCCGAGAAGGCCCCCGCCCTCCCAAGACGCCCCCCCCCCCCCGCCTTCTCGGGAGGCCGCCCCCTCGCGCCACCCCCACGTGGGCGGCGCCAACAACGGGTAAGAAAACCGACGGCAGCTCCTGCCACCTTGGTCCTGACTCGCTGTCGGCTTTCGCCGCGGACGCGGTCAACTAGAGACAAACAGTCACCCTGCCCCACAGCGGCCGCTGCCTGGTTTGGGTAACGGTTGCTGTCGGGCATCATGCCCGTTTTTGCCGCACCGGTGTCGGGCGTGCTGATCCGTCGACTGCACGGAAACTAGAGTGACTTTTCGCTCGAACGATCTCTGATGCCAATCTCCTGGGGCCTCTCGACCGAAGGATCACAGCGCCAGCATCGCAGAGCGGATCTCGCTCGGAAAACGCCCTGCACGCGCGGCATCGATCGGACGCATGCCCACTCCTCGGCGAGGCCATCGCCAACAATCCAGCCCGTCCAGGGGCACCATGGGTCATCCGGCGCAGCGCAACGCGCGCGAGCCTCCGACCGATTTTGCGGGGCGTGGGCGCCCGGGCGATGGCAAGCACCAGCCCCGGCGGGGATCCAAGCGACTTGGGCCTGGGCCGGGCGGGAGGGCGAGGCGCTGCCTCTGCTGGCCGTTCTCCGAAGCACGAGGGCGACGGCTGCTGCTTGCGCTCGCTGCTCCTCCTCCTCCTCCCTCCTCCTCCTCCTCCCTCCTCCTCCCTCCTCCCTCCTCCTCCTCCTCCTCCTCCTCCTCCTCCTCCTCCTCCTCCTCCTCCTCCTCCTCCTCCTCACCTCCTCCGGAGGCGCGTGAGCCCAATGTGTGTTTCATCCCTTTCGGTTCCGCCGATAGCACGCAGCCCATGTGGGCCCTCTTTGCACCATCTGCGTCGTACTGCAAGGCTTCCATGGACAAGCGCACGTTGTGGGCGGCACACTCTCCGAGGATCGTGGGCTCTGTGGCCGGGGGATTGGTAGCTTTGCCGCCCCTGGCCTCAACGTGCCCCCCAGGATTTTCAAGGATGCCACTACGGCTACATCTAGCACTCAGCGCGTGGCTTGCCCGAGAGCTGTGCGCCGAAATTCTGGCGGACGGCCGGGGCGATTCGCCTGCCCATCCCCCCCCACGCCGAAGAAGAGGAGACGGCACACACGTAAGCTATTGGGGCTCCGCGCGCTCACTTCGTGGGTCGGCGCTGATTCCCCCCCGACGGCGCCTTCGGCACCGCCCCCGACGGGCTCCGCGCGCCAGGGGGGGGGACCCAGCGCCGACCCGACAGATCTGGCGGACCTCCGAAAGTTTATGTTTACGGCGTTTGCTTGTCTTTCTTTCCTCTTCTTCTTCTTCTTCTTCTTCTCTTTATTCCTATCCTTCTTCTATGCCCTCGCGAGCGATCGTCGAGGTGAACGTCGTCGGAGCCAGCGCCGCTGTTTGAAAGGCTCCGTAGTTTCCCTCGCGTCCTGGGCAGCTGCCTGTCCGCGATCCGCGCAGCGCACCAGGAGCCCCACTGGCCCCGCTGGCCAGCGCCGTCTCCTCCTCCTCCTCTTCTTCTTCCTCCTCCTCTTTCTCCTCCTGAGAAATGAAAGCAGCAGGGTGCCTTTGCCCTAGCTGCTGTTTAAAACAGAGCGTAGCGCTGTTCAAACCTTGGGAAACCCCGGGCCGCAGAAGACCCGGGCGCGAAACGGGAAAAGGGCCGGTGGACCATAGGACTGAACTGGAGCTAATTAGGACGGCTGTCAGCACCCAGGGGACCACCATAACCACTTGGAAGGGGAGGGAGGTCGACAGCGTCGTCGAAGTCCGTCCTGCCGCCCGCCAGGCCGCCGCCCGCCGGAGGGAAAGGGGAGGGAAGGGGGGGAGGACCCAGGTGGGCCCCAGGCGGAGAGACCGCGTAGCCTTCGTGATCCACCCCGTTTTCGCCGTGACGCGGGGCTGGGCCCCCCACCAGGCCGGCGCGACCCGCAGATTCTCCCCGAGTTCGAGCCCACGTCCAGCAAAACGCGGGACTCGGCCCAGAAGTGCCGAGCCGACGCCTGGGTGTGCCCGCAACCGAACGGGCAAACGCACGCGCTGCCGTGCCTGCGGGTCGGCGCGCACACGGCCCCGCCCCTCCAAACGGCGAGGAGGTTCGTCTCGCATCGGCCCAGCGATCGCCGGAACTGGGCCCAAGGCGGCGCGCTGTGGGCAGCCAGATCGATCTCCCCGAACCCCTCTTCGTCGCGCCGCGGCGGGGGCCCATGCGCCGCCCGGGGGCGAAGGGGCGCCGCCTGGGCGCACTCCCGGAGAACGCGCTGGTCGCGGTCGGATGAGGCGTCGAAAGCCCTGCGGGGGGGGGGGCGCGGGATGGTGCCAGGGTGCCGGGCTCTCGCTTCGCGGCTGTCAGCGGCGGCTGCAGCGGCGAGCGCCGCCGCGGCCCGGGGGTCGAGCCCCGGGGCCGGAAGCGGCCAGGCGCCTTCGGGGAGCGACCCGGTCGCAACCAGGAGCAGCCCGAACACGTCGGAATACTCCGAGAGCGCCACCGACAACAACCGCGACGCGGGGCCCCCCCAGTCGCCTTCAGCAGAGCGCACGCCGTACCGAAGACAATGTGCAACGAAACCCGCTCCGCGCACCATCGCCGAGCACACCGCCAGGTACAGCGAGTCCGGACAACAGACCGAAGCGTGAGCGCGATCAGAGCACATGGTGGGATCGCGCAGAACGGAGCCGGCCACTGATGTTTAGGACCGATGCACGTCAATGCCGCGAGCTCCCTGATCCGCTGCCCGCCGGGGGCCGTGCGGAGCCGGCGCTCCTGGGAGCGGATCTGGCCCCACCCGTCCCGAGGCTCAGGCAGCTGGGGCCAGGTCGCGGCGTCGCCGACAGCGGCCCGCACCCCTAAGTGTTTGGCGCTCTTGGTGCCCGACCAAACCTGCCGCTTCCTAACGTTCGCCGAAAAGCCGAGCCGCCGGTCGATCTCCGCAGCGATCGTTAAGGCACCGTCCCG